TCGGTCAAGCGCATCAAGCGATCAGGCGGCTATCCAGACCGCGGTTCACAGTAATAAGAAGGCATTAAATGACTGTGGTCCACAACAACTCCCACTCCTATCTCTCTGCACAATTTCTTCACCTCCTCATTTACATCTATGTGGAATGTATTCTGACTCCATGCTTTCATGAAGTTTTCCGTGCGACTCCTCATTTGACTCGTCTAAACCTGGCACGCGTATCCACACAGGTAGAACGGATTAAGGAGTTGTAAATGAAGCACCTGAACTTCAGAGTTTGCTAGCTCACTCGCCTAACAGGCTAGACATCGGTCTCCGAATTTCTACGCTATCCTCATTCGTGCGGGTAGTCGGTCCACACGGAGAACCCCCGTTGGACTCTCTTTCTTGAGATGTGACTGCCTATCTTCGCCCTACCAAGTGAACTCCAGTTTACTTCGTCTTCAACCTTTATACTCTTGACTCCTTCTTGAGGCCTTCTGAACTTTGACGCTACCGAATCTTTACACACTTTACACACCCATATTACTTTGGTTTTCCTCTTTTGGCCATATGTAGTCTCATAGTTTACTTGACGTTGCTCTGTTTACCGAACTATACCCCAACCGACATTCATTGTCTATATCGACAGCTGTTGTCGTCTTTGAGCAAAAACAGTGCCGTTTTTAACATCACCGAAGGCATAAATCACCACGTTCGACGATCTTTAGGTCGTACAACTCGTGGGTGCACCAGAACTTTTTATCGCTCCGTAAGACATTTTGACGTTGCACTGCAGTCTCTAAACTTCTTTACTCTCCTCTTTAACGTCTGCCAAATAGGTCTCCATTGGTTTCCGAGCCACTTTGGTTGTGCCATAAAACCAAACCTTTCTGATTGTTGTCACGCTGCTCTAGGTCTCTTGCATCCCTTCAGAAAGTAAACCATATAGGTCAGTCGAAACTACGTATCTTTTGTGTTTCCTTGCCCCTCTGAACACACTTATACGAGTACTTGAAATACACTCATGTTTTATACAGTTTGACTTGCATCGTTCGTGTTCAGTCATGCAGCTCAAATCGGAAGGACAACATTCTTTTACCTTACAGTGACCAGAGCATTCCCTTGATCCTAGAGGGCGTTCGACCCGAACTGCAACCAGCAAATATTTGAAAGTTGTGATAAGGAGTTTCAAGAGTCTTCATGAATAGCTAGCTACTTTCCACCCATGGGTAGCATTTCTTCTCAGAAAAAATTTAGGAGTTTGTGATGGTGTTACGCGAAAACGATGAACCATCTGCCAGTCTATCAGCCGTTACGAGCAAAAGAACCACACAGTCACGGGACTCTGAGCCAAGAATCCTAACGGCAATCAATGGACCAATTGGATCAAAGGAAGACAATCACTAAAAACAGAAGGCCGATGAATCAATCAATCAATGGGACAAACTGACACCACAAAGCAAGAAGAAAACGGCCGAATCACAAGAGAACAGCCACACACAGAACTGCCGAATTAAATGCACCCAACGAACCAACCAGACAAAGGAGATTGAGACCGCATCAGATTCACAGGAGACCAATGAAACTACACGGCGACCGTTTCCAGAACTACCAGATACTGTTTAGAAGCTATATAATCACAGACAGAAGAGGAGGAATTCACCCACTCAACCCCGCACTGACGATGTCACCTCGATTGGTGGTGAACAGACCAACAACCAAACAGCGCACCTGAGCTACCTACATTCCACAACATTGCTAGGATACAATAACCATGGAACGTTAGTGAAGACATCGGTGAACTGGTGATACCCATGCTGTTACACTATATGATGAGAGAATTCATAGAAAATCTGGCCTTCTGCAGGCCGACAGGTTGTTTGTGACATTCAAATGTTGGGCGAAAAGCCACGTTTTCATATCCACTGTATGATAACGTTTCGAGGTGACTGCAGTGTATACAAAGGGATACATGAAATTGTTATCACCACCCACCAAGACAGGAAATGAGAAATTTCGACCGCACATCAAAGACGATAGCTCTGAAGTTTGTTGGACAGGCACTGGTGGAAGATGAATGCAAATGGTTGCAGCTTGTAGTTTCGTGACACGCAAGAACACACTAAAACTAAACGGGGGGATGCACGTTACACAGTCTTTCTAGAGTATAGAAGAAAACATAGGTCATCGTTCGAACCGACAACAAATGACAGGATAAGGGGATGGAAGACTAACAGGAACATTGGGTCGCCTACAGTGGTTCGAACGTTCAAAGAACGCAAATTTTTCGGTAATGTTTGTGACTTGCCTGTCAACGCTGACAGATAAACTCTTATCTCTGGTTAGCCACAAAAAAATGGATTCGGTAAGGGAATGGAGCATTTTGGAAAATTGGCCTGTCATTAAAAAAAGTACATCAATGTTTTGTATTCTTCATACATTGTATCACTATGCAGACTGTACCACTGGGAAGACTGGTCAAAATTTTTCAGTACTTCAATGCTCTTAGCTGCCAGTGTATTGGTTTCTTCAGGTTGCAAACTAGTCAGTTGCATGTGCTTTTTTTCGTACTTTCGGACCTAGAGATGCGGTACTCAATTCTGACCTGGCATAAACAAACGCGCTTACCTGAGAGACAGTCAAAGACTCCTCTTTCCCAGTGGGACCAGTGTTCATTCATCGTAAATCTGTATGCCATGTCGGAGAAAAATTTGCTTCGATGATCGGATTCTGACCAGATTTATTAAATAATTACAAAACTCACGAAGGAAACTACTCATAATGTTGCTGAAAACATTTCGACAGCCCACGACCGGTTTTGTCGTTCATATCGGGGCTCATCAGGTAGGCGCAGTCCCCGAGTTTCCGTCAATCTTATGTTCAACAAATCTGGACAAGTACACTCATTTGTATATCCGGTGGGTTTTCACGGGAGACTCAACTGAATCTCGCGTTTATGATATTCTTCAACTGAATGTACTGCACAAAGGCCGCCTCATGTTTCAATCAGCACAATATTTGAGATATTGCCCAAAACAGAAGGAAAAAACCGGTTGTGGGCTGTCAAAGAGATTTCAGCAACTTTGTGAGTAGTTTCCTTCATGAAAATATTTTGCGACATCTCGATTATCGTACCAACTGAAACATGAGGCGGCCTGTGTGCAGAACATTCAGTTGTAGAATATCATAACCGAGAGATTCATTTGGGTCTCCCTGGAAACCAAATTGATTTGCGAATGTGTGTATTTCTCAAAATTACAAGGCTCAATCTCTTCTCATGAAGTAGTTGATTTCGCCTGTCAACTGAGTTGGAAATGCAATTTCATTCACATTTGTAAAGCCTTGTGTTCCGAGACTACAAAGTCGTTTCTCCAAATAGATATTTTGTTACTATAGGACTCTAATATGTCCAACATTTGTGTGTTCTTAGAAAAACCGTGATTTGATCGATATCCCCAAATGGTCTGTCTAGAAATGACAACTCAATTTGGGACACACGCTGACGGTAAATTACTTCCTTTTGCTCCGATCTTTGTCTCAAGGACCATGGTTGAAGTGTGGATAACTTGGAAAGAGCCTCTCCGATTGTGATAACCACTGCATACGTGCTAACCGTGGCTCGTTTCTCAGAGTGAAGAACAGCTGAGCTTCAGTTCAGCAAAAAACACCATCCTTGTTAATTATTTGATCCAGAGGGCGTCATCACGTGACGCTTTGGTTGACAGTAAAAAGAGCTGCCCTGAAGACCAGACGGATAATTATACGCCATATATTTCCTCTAAGGAAACTCTCGCAAGGCGGTTGAAGTGTGGATAACTTGGAAAGAGCCTCTCCGATTGTGATAACCACTGCATACGTGCTAACCGTGGCTCGTTTCTCAGAGTGAAGAACAGCTGAGCTTCAGTTCAGCAAAAAACACCATCCTTGTTAATTATTTGATCCAGAGGGCGTCATCACGTGACGCTTTGGTTGACAGTAAAAAGAGCTGCCCTGAAGACCAGACGGATAATTATACGCCATATATTTCCTCTAAGGAAACTACTCGCAAGGCTACTGAAAACTCTCCAACGGCCCACGACTGGTTCACCCTACTTGAAGCTCAAGACGCAGACCACGAGTTTCCGTCAGCCTTATGTTCCACTTGAACCCGAACTGGCCTGATTTCGAAAAATACACTCATGAGCAGGTGAGTTTGCTTTCCATGGGAGAATCAAGTGAATCTCTCATTTACGGTGTTCTTTAACTGGATGTGGTGCACAAAGGCCGCCTAGTGTTTCAGTTGGTACGATATTCGAGATATTGCAGCATATTCTCATGGAGGAAACTACTCACGAGGTCGCTGAAATCTCTTCGACAGCTGACGACCGGTTTCACAATTCTTGGGGTTCATCAGGTAGGCGCACTCCCCGACTTTGCGTCAGCCATATGTTCCCCATGAACCTAATATATTTTTCATTTAGTTTACAGCCATGCCATTCTCTGTCTAATAAAATAACTGAATATTTCCTACTAATTAACAGTAGATTATAGGACGAAAATTTTAAATCAATACAACAGGAAATACAAGCACCAGTCATTAGCAATGTTCTGAAGGTTGAGTGCCAACAGCTCAACGAAGCATTGTTATTGTGGATGAGTTGGCTAGTCAGGTGCGTAATTTACGTCTTGCAAAGCAGGGGCTTCTAAGTAAAATGTGTTACAGTCAGTAGAACAACACCGAAGTTTAATAACTTGGGAGCATGAGAGGCCGAAAAGTATTTGCGGAATTTGTTCTTCTTTTCTCTAGTGATTCTACAAGTCATTGTTGAACAAGGTGACTTTGTTTTCATAGAGGAAACTACTCACAAGTTTGCTGAAAACTCCTCAACAGCCCACGACCGGTTTCGCCCTTCTTGGGGCTCATCAGGTAGACGCGGTCTCCGAATTGATTTGCAAACGAATGTATTACACGTAAACAGTCCAATTTGGGTTCAAGTAGAACATAAGTTTGACGGAACCTCGGAGACTGCGTCTACCTGATGAGCCCCAAGAAGGGCGAAACCCGTCGTGGGTTGTCGAAGAGTTTTGAGCAAACTTGTGAGTAGTTTCTTTTATGAAAATATACTACGATTTCTCGAATATCGTGCCAACTGAATTATGAGGCGGTCTGTGTGCAGCACATTCAGTTATAGAATATCATAAACGAGAGATTCAGTTGAGTCTCTCGTGGAAACTAAAGTGACTTGCAGATGAGTGTGTCTCTTGAAAGTGACTATTTTTTATGTAACTGTGTGACTCGAAATGGTGCGTCTAACAGAAGTGCGTTTGCATCAAAATTTTTCTCTCAAGGCTAAAATTATGCCGATCAAAATGCAGTCTCTCAACTATTTAGGAAGAACAATGATTCAAATTGAAGAATCCGTTTCGCATTATTGATCCTGAATTTAAGTACAAGAGGATTTTATCAAGTGCTTGGCAACCAAGAGAGAAAGGGAAAGAAAGCCTCAGTCAGCCATTGACGAAAACGTTTGCCCTCTGGGCTAGTTCAGCGATTTCGGTCAGGTCATCTTGAAAAACTTGTGTGAGTAGCAAAGTTCACAAGACTCAACTTCAGCCATCGAACGTTAGACTAATCGCTTGTGCAGACTCCTGATCATGGTTGGGCCCGCTTATGCAAATCCGGAATGTAAAGGCGAATGTCAAAGAACACAGCCATGGTTACTATCCTTCTTTTAGTAACCGTGAACTTGTACCAAAGCAATCGATAAGTTAAGATGATCGGGCATTCAAGACTGATGCCTTTGGTAGTTTATCCCGTCCTTTATCCTGATCGACTTAGCTTCTTTTCCAAGGGATTTCCGCAGAGTACATTGACCCTGAATGACTGGGAGTCTCAATTACTAGCAGCGCGCACATCACAAGTCCCTGTTTAGATTTGGACCGGCCACTGGCTGGAACATTAGCCGTTCGGCGATGATCGGCTTATCAGCAGCATTTGGAAAGGACGCGTTGCCAACTCCTTCTTTAAGCACAAAGTTCCCTACTCTTGGTCACATCTTGATTTGGATTTCTCGTTTAGTTCAGGTCAGAATGGCACAGTTCAGTACTGTCCAGGACGGAAACGGAGTGGATTTTTACCCAGAAGAGAAACAAAGGAACTAGAGTGCGTCGTTAGCCGTATATTCGTTCCGCTTGAAGAGTCCTAACGAAGTATTGTAGAGAGAAGTTTCCTAGAAATCAGCTGAGGCTGTATTCTAGGGAAACTAACACTCGAGTTTTGGCAGGGAGTCAGAAGTCTACCCGCGTTAGTCGCAAGAGCTGACTTACGGAATATCAAAGGGAATGCTCAATTACTAAAAAGGAACATGATGAACAGAATTTAAGTTCATCATGAAAGACACCAACTAGGTTTTCATAAAGGAAACTACTCACAAGTTTGCTGAAAACTCTTCGACAGCCCACGACTAGTTTCGCCCTTCCCGTCGGGGCTCATCAGGTAGGCGCAGTCTCCGAGTTTCCGTCAACCTTATGTTCTACTTGGACCCAAATTGCACTGTTTTCGAGAACAACACAAACATTCCCAAATCAATTTGGTTTTCACAAGGGACTCAACTGAATCTTTCGTTTATGATGTCCTACAACTGAATGTGCTACACACAGGCCGCCTCATCTTTCAGTTGNACATACGGTTGACGGAAACTCGGAGGCTGTGTCTACCTCATGAGCCCGAAGTGGGAGAGCGAAACCGGTCGTGGGCTTTCAAAGAGTTTTCAGCAACCTAGTTTCCTTTATGAAAAAACACTAGTTTTCTTTTTCTCAACGACTCCATTATCTTCTTTGAGAATGAATGGTAGGTTCGCCCGAATCTCCACGGATATTGCAAAGTGTGAGTCAAATCAAATATCCTGTTGGTGATCAACCCATGTTTGAAGTTGTATGACTCTATGTTGAGGGGTTTCTGAGTAGTTCCGGAATAAGCTGGGGACTTCAATAACATTTCGCCCAGTAAGTACGCTTCGCTTCACTTTCTGTATAGCGGGTAGTTCCGTCTTCCTTGAGGTATTATCACTGAAGTATGACTTTGACGTAGTTGGTTTGTTTGTCACTTGACTGACCTCCCACAGCCGCATAAAATGCTTACCTGGCTTGGATTCGCAGCCTATTTTACCCAGCCAGGTGAAAATATCGACCCCCTTACAAACGAGTATTGACCAAATACACTCATTTGTAAACACATAAGGTTTTGCGGATAACTCAGCTGGAAGTCAGAAAAATCTGTCGTTGATGATGTTTTCAAGCAACTGAATGTGCTACACCAGGCCGTCTCATGTTCAATTCGTACGATATTCGAGATCTCGCGATGCACGCATACACGTAATACATTAATCAAAAGGGTATCGAAGAATTTTTAGAGACCATATGAGTAGTATGTTACGACTATACACATTCTGGTTTATTCGTTTGTGTTTCCCATTGCCACCAAATTAATTCACAAGTAAGCGTGTTTTTCCAAGTCCCATATAGTTATGCGTGGCTATAATCAGAACAAGTAATCTTAGAGCCGACCGAATAACTGATCAATTCGATCAATATAGTACGCAGTTTGAAGCATGCCCGTGTCACAGGTATCGATTTCATCATAGATAGCTTCATCAGCTGGGGGCATACCTCTGCATATGCAAGATCCATGTTTCCGATGTACGCTGAAGAGCGCGGAAGGCTCGTGGTTCTAACCCGACCTCTTCCTGTCGACTTTCTCTGTCTAGGCTTGAGTAACCTGGCATTATGCCAGCTCTCGTGCTTTCTTCGGGTGGCATGGCAGCTAGCCATCGGAGGAGTGCTACAGCTGGACGAAAAAATACAGGCACAGAGCATATGATAATACACTTAACCGAAAGTTAACTGTATGGGTTGTCGTTCAAAGTGAGCTCAAAGTTTAATATTCCCTTCATAACCACATTTCTGATGATAGTTCTCCTCTGAAAGGAATGTATAGGCCATATATTATCCCTTCCGGTTTGTCGGAATTATCAGTACCCCCATGGCAGACAAAACCGAGTATATGTTTGCCAGTTCATGGCGCTTACGAGTTACTACTGTGCACAAGGCATCCCACAAGTTTGACGCCTGTCTGTCAGTGCATACGCGTCCATATATTCAGCTTGAATTTTCAGTAATCATATAGTAACAGGTCATCCAAATTCTACTTGGACGATAGTCGAACAGACTCCATTCGACAACGCGTAGTTGACCATGTATATTACGCGAAAGGAATTGCATCTCAGGGTAATTAATAGATCATCAACCAGGAATCAAAGCTCTGGTCCTATAAAATCTGTAATTTGCTACAAGAAGGGTCACTGGAGAAAACTGGTTCTGCATTTTAAGAAATTCATTCGGAAAATGCATTGGCGACGGTGATTCACTAAGCCGACCGCGATCAAGCAGCACGATTTTGATGACCCTACTGTCACATTGGCGCCTTTAAACTGGGCGCTTACCCCTGTTCCGGTAAGCTTAAAGCTCACATGGTGAGTGAAGTATTTCGATATCGCATACCCTCTAGTGCTAGGTTAAACTTCTTTGATGCCAGGCCACGTTTAATCATTTTGAGCCAAAAATCAAACTCCTTGTTTTGAATCTGATGATGAGAAAGTTTTACGCAGCTGAATAATAATCGATCGGAAATATTCGCAGATGTATCTCCGAATCCGGTGACTCTTGCACCACACGTCATTCTGACATACCGTTCTAAATGTCCTGCATTCGGGTTCTCACACCCGCAAGAAACTTTACGACAGGAAAAATCGATGGCTGGATTATTCCAAGTATTTTTTGGTCCATGCGTGAATACCGACATAAAAGTGCACCTGTGCGAAGTATGATGATGGGAGGTGTGTCCAATAACAAGAAGAATGTATGTTTAAACGGATCGATATTCAAAGTTCAAACATGGCGCTAGTCTGACTTCAAAGCAAACTCCGAATCCATATCGTGGCCTTTTGACAGCCAGCATCCAACCTCGCTGACGATGGTCATAAAGGCTGCCTTAGAGTTAGTCAGTACATATCGGAGAACATCAGAGACGATGCGCACAAACTGAGTGAATCGATGGAATATCAGCACAGCTACTGACTTTGGTTCCAAAATTCTATGCCATTTAGAATTAGCTTTGTATAGCACATGTCGGAGATGTATCAACATATGCAATGTGAAAAAGTTACATTGTATACACTGGAGGGAAAAGTGCACAGGCGCCATAATTTCGACATTAGTTTTGCCGCCAAACAGCAGCCCGAAACCGTCTGTTAATAAAGAAGCGAAATTTGTAATCAAAAACGCCAATTATCTCCTTCCTTAAATGGTCCAGTCTGATTAGAACTTGCCTACTTACAAACTGAGCACCAGTCTAGATTTTGCTAATCTTACGCATGGAATGACAGCTCCTGACTATGCAGAAACCAGATTAACCATGTTCTAGATTAAACTTGGAATACCATGGGGTGTTTTCCCCAAAAAGTGATTGACTTTGAGCTACTCATTGATTGCCTTCTAACAACTACTGCAATTTGAACGATGATCACGACTGGCCCCCTAAAATAGTGCTTCTTCGGTCAGCCAAACCTTCTATACGTAACAGCTAGTCCCAACGTGCCATTGAAGAGACCGAGTGAGTTTAGCATGAAAACTATGGTCCCGTACAGCTACAATAATGCCCAAGACCTACTGCGTGGCGAGGGTGAGCAATCCGAAATCCTGGGTGTTTGCAGAATTGAAAGCGGAGTCCGTTTTCGCTCACAGGACGGAACCACCAAGAGATTTATTTGAATACCGTTTTCATCTAACGAGTGAAGCACTAAACATGTGGATTGGCCTCTTAATCAGTCAGAGTGTGAAACCGCTGCACAGTGCTTCTTGGCTTTTCAGCATCAATTAGCTTCACTTACAGAAAGAAACCTTCAGTAAAAATAGAATCTTTCCTGAAGAAAACTACTCACAAGGTTGCTGAAAACACTTCGACAGCCCACGACCGGTTTCGCCCTTCCTGTCGGGGCTCATCAGGTAGGCGCGGTCCCCGAGTTTCCGTCAACCTTATCTTCTACTTGAAACTAAATTCGATAGATCTGCACAAGTACACTAATTTGTACATCAGGTGGGTTTTCACGGGAGACTCGACCGAATCTCGCGTTTATGCTATTCTTCAACTGAAATGTATTGCATACAGGCCGCTTCATGTGTCAATCGGTACAATATTCAAGATATTGCCCGAAACAGAAAGACGGAACCGGTCGTGGGCAGTCAAAGAGTTTTCAGCAACCTTGTGAGTAATTTCCTTTATGAAAATATACTGCGATATCTCGAATATCGTGCCAACTGAATCATGAGGTGGCCTGTGTGCAGCACATTCAGTTGTAGAACATCGTAAACGCAAGATTCAGTTTAGTCTTTTGTGAAAACCAAACTAATTTGCAAATGAGTGTATTTGTCGAGATCTGTCATGAAATGCGGGTCGATTTGTATTTTATGGGGTCCATCCCATGCAGTAGTGAATTTCATTATCGATTGAACACATGTACGAAGGTACAAAATGAAAGATATTGATGCAGAATGAATCATTTAGGGTTTTGGAGATTGAGTGTAACGGTTGCCGCAGATTAGCGATTTTGCTTGGCATTCAAGACTCCGATGTTTACAGAGAGACTGCAGCAGAGATTGTTGTCATTCACCACCACACACAGGAAAGAAGATGGAATATGTCAGTATCAAAGTCACTAGTCAAATTCTTCCATACCTTCAGAGGCTGGTTTCTGTTCGGTCGTAGGAAGGCTCTGAACGTTCCAGTCACAGTACTATGGTGAAGCTGTTCAAAATCTGGGAAGCACAACATCATGCAGGTTAGATGAATTGGGGTAGATTGAAACGGTCAAAACAGATTTGGTGATTCAACCGGGGTTGTGGAGGGAGACAGTAACGGTGTGCCATTCAGAACTCATCCTATGGAGACTACCGAAATTTTCTTCGGTAGGTAGATGTGCACTCACCGGATGAAACAGGTTGGCTGGCAAAAAGTTCAAACGGGGATTGGTTCAGTCAGGGAATACAACAAAATCTTACCGGGTCAACTTCACCAAAGTAACTGAGACTTTGTGGTTTGCACTGTAGTGTCATGCTGTCAGGTTATAGGTCAAGAACAAAGTTGACGTTAAACGATCACGCACGATCCAAGGTTTGAGTCAATCGGATCATAGGAAAAAGTGCGGTTACTCTCAGAAAGGAGGAATTCGGAACAGAGGTCCGTCGAGTAGGCAAAACAATAAGGAAGATTAGGTCCAGATAGTAAAATTGAACTTATCCAAGTTACATCATTCATGTGGGGAATCAAACGTTCGGATGAAACAATCAAGTTTATTATGATTGTGTGGCGGTAAACGAATGCTACTTGCGAATCTGAAGGAGGTTATATCTGATGCAGTTCTTTATGAGATCGATGCGTTTAAAATCAATTATTCCTGGTGTTCAAAACCCAAGCTCATATGATTCATTGGAGTGGTGTTTGGAATATAAGGACGAAGAAACCACCGCTGAATGCCTGTTTACTCATCGGGTCTTGCGATCATCCAGTCTTCCACTTCTCCTTCAGTGTTATCGACTTATTGCACCTAAGGATGGAGTAACGTTCATCTGTCTCCGTCGTCTACACAATCTTGTCTTTCCACATGTTTTCCTGCAATGGAAATGGATCAATATTCCGTCAATTTCAAAATGCAAAAATCATCCCTCTGTGTTTCGAAAGTTTGTTAATTGTGTTGTCATTGATGTAAAGAGAAACCGTGGGCAATCAGAGAGAAACCAGTGCGCAATCATTGCTTGGGGTAGTCTACAGTCTGCAGTCTACAGGGCAACTTTAGTGCCTGCAGTTTTTTATACATTTTTTCCCTTCTTTTGAACCCGTTCATTCAAAATTTCAAGATAAATTATTTGAACGAGCCTATCATTGATTTCACGATCAGGCATTATACAGATGGATGATGCTGAAGGGAATGGTGACACTTTCAAGTCCATTTCAAACGATGTGCGAAAATCAACATATCTTAAGTTGCTCAAAGCTCAATACCACAAGACAGCGTCCTTATGTACTTTGGATTTAGCCCTCAGTTTGCACTCAGATTTTGTTAGGCGGAATTCCACATTGATACCATTTTGCCGCACAGTTACAGCCATGAAGCTTATCCCGCACAAGACTGGCCGAGACGCTTGCCGGTCCGGTATCAAGCCGAGAGCTGTTTGGTCTGGACTCAACAGCCAATCATGACCCAGTGCGTTAACCGTATGCCCGTCACCAATGGCGCATCCAGAAGGCGTCAGAAGGGTGTCCCGCTTACACTATATATATGACGCGCTGTACAAGTGTTCTTGATTTCATTTGGGCGTTAGTGTACGTTATGCACTTTTAATGGTTGCTTGAGACGTCGAGGCTAGTTTGGAAGGCTCGGACCGAGAACTAAGCTGATGAAAATACCTTTACTATAGATTTTCTCTACTCAGTCCATCCACAACATCGAAGAGCCTTTACATCCACAAACTGGACGCAGATGGATGTTCTACATGCATTTTGATAAGTTTCTACCTGTGTCTACAGTCGAAAAGTCAAAAGTCTGTGAGTTCATCAACAGTCTGTTCGGCGAAATACACTCATTTTCAAACTATTTGCGAGGAACTCACCTGGAACCCAGCTGAATCTATCGTTTTTGCTGTTTCCAGGCAAATGAATGTGCTGCACCATGCCGCCCCATGTTTCAGTCGCTACGATATTCCAGATATCGCGATACATGTATATATTCGATATGCTGTTGTGGGCTGTCGATGAATTTTCAGCAACCTTATGAGTAGTGCATTACGAATAAATAGTCTGTTTAGTTTGGCAGAATTAGGCAATTTCCTGTTGAAGTGTCTCGTGGTTCATAAAATAAACAAAAAGAGGTGACCGGTTAGTATACGTACGCAGAGAAAGTAAGGAATTTTTCTATCTGGTTTGACCACTTTGTTTACCTGCATAACAGAGGTGATATCACATGGGATCATCCCTTGTCACTTCTACTCTTCTCAATTCCATCAGTTTTTACCAAGACGCGCAAATAGCAATCCGCTCAGAGGACACCTAGGCACTGTTTTTTCGTTCTTGATTCCCTAAGGTGGCTTGAGCTGTCCAGGAGGCCAGATGATTTCCGTGTGTACCAAACGTATTTGAACGCGGAGATTTTGCTGGAAGGGCCTGACCTTCCGATGAAAACTTTGGGTATGAATCTTTGTGTGCGTTTATTTTTTACAGCAACTTTCGTCCGGGCATAGTTCACACGCTACACTAATTGTGTTTGTCAAATGCTCTGAACAAGTGAATTTCTGTGCTCTGAACTTGATGGTTAGTTCAGCATTCGTCTGCGATAACGAAGATCCGAGCACCAAACTTTACTTCAAATAGGTGATCATTTCTCTTTATTTCGACCTCTCAGTATATCAATAAATGTTTGCCAATAAAGAATGGCGAACTGAATTCGTAAGCATATCACACACGGAGTACAGCTCAGGTGCAACTATCCATGGATTAAGAGAGTACAGGGACTTAATAGTTTTTCACACCATCTCATCATCATGTTTTACAATTTACTGACATATCAAATCACCAGTTCCTCTCTGAGTAAATTTACTGACAATCTGAATGCTATGAGTTGAACCTGAGCGCCGAAACTTAGTGAAACCAGTTGACGTTAATAAAACTCGGCACATGTTATGAGGAATCCCTACAGTTCGCAGCTAACATAGACTGCTAAGAATAAACATCAGGAGGATCTTCATAAGGTTGCTGAAAATTCGTCGACAGCCCACGACCGGTTTCGCCTTTTTTCGGGCTCATCAGGTAAACATCACAAACGAGGGATTCAGCTGAGTTCCGGGTGAGTCTCTCGAAACATTACAAACGAGAGATTCATCTGGGTTCCAGGTGAGTGACTCGCAGAACCAAATTTGTTTGCAAATGAGTGTGTCAGCGAAACCAGTTTACGTTAATCAATCTCCGCATACGGTATGAAGAACCCTTATCGTTCACAACTTAGTAAGCGACCATAGATTGTTAGAAATAAACATCAGGAGGATCTATTCTTGGTCGAGATATTTCAAAGATATCCCAGTGGTATGATAACTTTTTCGATAACTTTTTCGCTGTGAGTCATTCACTGGGTTCAGAAAACTAAACCGCACCGAAATGAAAAATTGGTTGTAGTGCAAGGAGACGAACACGGAAACCCAAACATGAAGAACTGAAAATACTTCCTCCGTTTTACACCCGCAAAAGAAGATAGCTGGTTTGGGGCGTAAACTGGGGGAATTCAATTTCACAATAAATGACCGGCTCCTAGAATTAAAATCGATACACTGATCAGCTGTTATGCTGTGAACCGCCAGAAAGGAGGGAACAGCAGAAGTTTATTTGAAATACCCTCATTTGCAAACTAATTTGGTTTTGAGAGAGACCCACCTGGAAACCAGCTGAATCTCTCCGTACTCTTCCTTACGTGCGCAGCTGTTGACTTATTTTATATACACGAGAAGTTAATTTGGAGTTCCAGTGGAGGTTTCATCATGCAACTGAACCTGATCTGTTGGAATCACTAGCAGAGTTCATCTCACAAACTTCTGGGAAGGTTCGAACCGCAAGTTGGCCGTGCAATACATTTGGTCGCTTAGAAACATCATACACGAGAGATTCAGCTGGGTTCCAGGTGAATCTGTCGCAAAGCCAAATTTGTTTGCAAATGAGTGTGTTTGGCTCATTTCGTGCAATTTAAGTGGAACATAAGGTTGCGGCAAATTGGGGACTGTGCTAACGTGAGGAGCTCCACGAAGGGCAAAGCTGGTAGTGGGCTGTCAAAGAATTATCAGCAACCTTATGAGTAGTGTGTTATGCCGGTACAACGTTTGGCCACGAGTAGCTTATCAGCAGATGAATGAGGGTATGCATCACAGATGGTATGATAGATACACACATACTGTATACTATCGCCTTCCACGATCTAAGGTGTGAACCGATAAAATCTTCGCACTCCCATCCTATCGCCTTTTTCTGCTTGTACCTGTGAGGTTGCGTCCGTTTTCGTAACATTGTATAGGATCGTGTTGACCATTTCCGATTCCCCTTGATGGGATTCTTCGGCACTGCAAAGTTTCCGAAATTCAGCTCACAGATGTTTTGAGCAAACTTCTTTTCTGTTTTGCCAGAGCTGTAGCAGGTGTAATATGTCAGGATATGTCTATCAGAGTGATCTTAGTTCAAATTCAACACTTTTTTGTAGCTGGCTCATGTTCCTTCCTAAAAGATTTTTTTCCAAACGTTCACGTGACATTCACCTGTCAAGTGTACTCTCCAGCGTTCACGCGTTCAAGTTTTTTTTCGCTCTCTGTTTTCGTACGTATGTCAAACACTATTGCCGCGATCCCTTCAATGAGTGCGTCAAGTCACTGTGATACTCTGATTGTTTCTTCACTGCGGACGCACTGCAAAGTGTGAAAAAAAAACATTGGATCGAAGACACCATTCGGCAGATCCAACAGTTGGTACAAAGCAGATTAACCAGGCGCGAAAAAATTTACACTGCTATGATTGCAGTATCCCCCAACCGAGTTTTCAGGACGTACCCAGACAGGAAAAAAAGCACATGTGCGGAGAGTGACGCATCCCAAGGTCACCATCGCTACGACACGTCCGGAAAGCAGGTGAGTGGGCGGCTCCCACCAAACACGGCTTAGCAACATACGACCAGCGTAGTGGGCCTGAGACTGTTCACGACCGGAACATCGCCATTGGCTGTACGGAGCGAACAAGTGAACGACCATATTTGGCCACTTAGTCATCCTTTATATTTACGCAGACGCTCTGTATGTCTTGTCCTGACAATACAGCCGTGTCCCCAGTTCTCTGTCTTCTCCCTATCGCGTAGTCTGGCAGGCTCAGTGCAGGCGTAACCAATGGACGGCCAGCCACGTCACAACACGAGTCACATCGAAAAATGCCGTTGGACTAAAGTTTGTTTAATAACCGAGGCCTGGGTTTAATGCTTCAGGTTTTTTTACTGAGAGAAAGACTTTTGTTCTGGGTCACCAATAAGTTTCATAAGCATCCTCACGAAATGGTAGTTCTCTAGAAAAAATGAGTTGCCTTTTAGTAAACTCGGCCACACTTCAGTCGCACAGTGCATACACGTACAGAAGAATGCGTAGCGGAGCTTTCAGGCTTAATAATGCACTCACCTTTTTCTACTTGAAACTTGTTAGTTCAGGGTGGTGAGCAAAGTAAACTGTTTAGAGTTGAGTAATCAAGGCTCAGAATGGACAAGGGGCCTTATTATCTGATGCAGAAGACCACAGTTGAACGGTTGTTGTTCACGAAGTCGAATATTTTCCATCCTATTGAACAACCAATGGATGAGAAGCGGAATCCGAACCCGTGTGCTGAGATTTTGGGAGAACCAGTCACCTAACACAAAATGCGGACTTGTTCGCCTGTGATAACTCAAGTTTGGCTAGCGTGCATTGGTGAAAAAGAAGCAATACTTTGTATAGACATAATACATTACTCATAAGGTTGCTGAAAATTCTTCGACAGTCCACGACCGGTTTCGCGCTACTTGAGGCTCATCAGGTAGGCGCGATTGCCGAGGTTCCGTCAATCTTATTTTTAACTTCAACCTGAGTTACACGAAATTAGCGAATATACACTCATTTGCAAACCGATTCGGCTTTCAGCGAGACTTAACTGGAACCCAGCTGAATCTCTCGTTTAGGAGTACTTTGGTTTGCACGACAAATCTGGATTTCAGTTGTCATTGTCTCCCAAATCGCACTCGAAGGGACGAACTATCTAGCACCTAGCATTTTTCTGTTCGAATTCTGTTTGTGTACAGTGCTACTTTGATGAACTTCACTTTGCCGGAATTTGAAAGAAACCATGGCACACCAAGGCTATTTGGCTAAGAAAGTTACGTGACTTGTTGTTGGTTTAGTGGTCGATCGAACGAAAGCAGCCTCACAGACAAGCGGTCGTGCAACAATTAAAGGCAGTCTGGAACGCTGTGCTTGCGACTAGTTGCGCTCTTTTGAATCACCTTAAACTTGACAACTTGGTTCGATCAATAACAAGATGACCGGTCTTGAAACGCGGAAGTTCGGAAAGTGGTTCAGCGGAGGTACCCTTTAGATCAAGCCAGTTTCAGTAGTCTTTTTCACGAAAAACATACGTTCTTATGAACATCGAAGGCTTAAGTGTGACACTGTGGCGTAAGTCATTGATGGGTGCCTCAACTTTAAATATGACAAACTCATACCTCGCCTGCGGAGCAAGGCACTTAACGACACGATGAAATAATACCACAGGTGTTAGCATTTCAATCCAGACAGTTCAACTCAAGTAAACCTATCGATCGTTCCTATGTTCTCGTAGCATTATTGATTTTCGCGCTCCATCGATTAGTTCACTGGCTTCGCAGTTTAGTGATCATAGTTTACCAGTCAGAATGTCTTTTTCAGTGTAATTCATAGGCCTTAAAACCAGAATTTTCACTTCCTTCAAAAACAGGACTACATCAGAATGAAGGTGGGTGTCCTGGCAACCAATTAGATTTGCTTAGTGTTATTATTAAAACTTTTATTATTTTTTTAAAGGAGGGTATTTTTTGGTGAGCCTAGCTAATGGCTCGAGTAAAAAAATATACGTTAGTTTTATTAGTCCACCGGGTGCAATCTGGTTTGCGGTTAAGAAAGAAACCACTCCAACACAGTTGTTGTTATTGATGGGTCTGTTCTGAGAAGCCAGCTGCGTTGTCAGCTGTAATAGCCGCGTACTCGTCGTACAGTGGTTGTAGCTGCCGCAGTTTTGTTCACCGATGGTTCGGAAAGGTGCGGTAGGTAGCTGCGTATCAGTGGCGGGAGCTGATAAATTAGTGCATAAATACAGCACCGCAGGCGCACTGTTAAGTGGGGGGATTGAGAAGGGAGCTATGCATTGAAGGCAGTAGCTTGGATGCAAGAGCGCCATTGAGGCGAGACTGGGACCTATCTGACAAAGTGTCTAACCAATGATGCGGCCCATCTCGGGGTCCCTATCCAGGAAGATGGCATTGACCAGCGCAGCTGAGTTTGCTGGTATTGGCCTTCACACTTCGCTGCCGAGTCATTGTTTGACCGCCTCTGGTTCTCTTCCACCCTTCACATGGTTGGGCGAAAAGAGCCCTTCGAGGAAGTCGGTCGACTGGTATACGCAGCACGTGGCCAAGCCAGCGCAACCTGTGCAGTGTGATCAGTTCATCTATCGAGGGTGAGTTATTTCTTCCGATTAACATTCGACGAAATTCAGCATTCTCAGAAGATACTAACCACAATAGACATGGAACAGTTATGCGTTTTTCTGCGCACTATAAAAAAGTTGGAATGACTACTCAAATGATCTATCTGTCAAACAACGAGTACTTCACTATCGGCGATGAAAAGTTGGCCCTATCATACAAAAACAGTTTGTTATGGTAGCCATATTCCGATCAGAGTTCTAAAAAATGCCATATTCAAACGAAAGTGTCGCACCACTGCTGTAGCATTAGATATGTACTTTTACTGAACACCTATTACGTGTCACACGTCGTACTTATACTCAATGTTTAACAAATTCCTCATCTTCAATCTAACTAGTTCTCATTAGGTAGGCTTTGATCCTTCATGATTTCATTTACCTGCAACTAGACAAGTTCTTCAATCACTGTACGAAATATCCTTTGATGTTCGTGCATAGGTGACCATCGCCGAGCACCTGGGGCTAAATTTCCAAGTTGTCATCTATAATAACTCAAATGATCGGAACTCTTTTTTATAGCATTCTCTGTCTGTTATTTTCGACCCTGAATGTCCTTTTCAATGGGGAAAGCTCACCTAGGACACATGTGTGCGTCGACAACCCCTTTTCGTTAACAAGAAACTGCGCCGCAATTCTCGAATATGTGCCAGTTCTTCTTTACAGCAGACCTAATGGTCAGGCAAAATTTCGTGTCTGTAAATCACCGATTGGTTGAATGGTTGACTGAGGACTGCCTCGTTGTTCTAAGTTCCTGCTTCTGTCACTTTGCGACCGTCCTCGTGAGTTTTTACCTGGTAAATACCTTTTCTGTACACACTTGGTGACTGTGAAATAGCAATGATTTTTTAGAAGGTTTTAGGTCGGAACAAGCTATTTTCCTGCACTTGAAGAAATTTTTCGCAAGAATAGGTTGGAGTTTTTCAACCATTTAGGGGACCGAGTAGCTAACCAAGTCAGCCGTTGGAATGAAAGAATTATAAATTTTGGATCAAGCTGACAAAGAATGGATTGTGCTCACGTGGTCCTGAGACAAGTAACTTGTGTCACTTACCTGGATGCCTACATAAGGGATCTGTTCTACGAGAAGTACACCCATTTGCAAATCAATTTGGTTTTCACGAGAGACTCAACTGAATCTCTCGTTTATGATATTCTACAAGTGAATGTGCTGCACACAAGCCGCCTCATGATTCAGTTGGAACGATATTCGAGATATCCCAGTATATTTTCATAAAAGAAACTGTTCTACGTTTATCTTAAGGGTACAGATAGGAGCAAAGGAATTTGTACAGCTGCGCTGTCAGTCACCCGAACACATCTTCCATATAAACATCCGGCCAGAATCCAACCGAAAAGATGATAATTTCTGTGGTTGTCATGGCATACCAGTGACTGATTATGTAAACAGTGTGAATATTTATCACGCCGTGTGACTAAGCTCGTTAGTACGGAACATACTCCTCTATTGTAGGATGACTAAACTTCGTTCACCGAACCCCTGATTCTACACAAAATTAGGGCAGTTCGCCACCGTCCTATGTCGTGATACAATGCCCACTAGAAGTCAAGTAGGATCCATTTGTCTCATAGTAGACAGTGAAACAACTGCAGTTGATTTACGTAAACACACACTGTAGTATTTACCTGGCCAAATGAAGGACAGTCAAAGCAGATATCAGTTTGGTGATAGTATATTACGATCGACCATAACTACTGGAGTGAATTTTGGCCACACAAGTTTTCTTGCTGTCAATGAAATCGATTCACCTGGGGTTGTTTCCGTTTATGCTCTACCAATGCCTCCGAATTAGTTTTTTTAACCCTCTCCATATTGATACGGATTGAGTAGCACAGGGAACTCAACTTGTATGGTGGAATCCTAGTTCCTTAATGTGTTGCTAGACGAAGGATCTTGACGGTCGAATAGCTACCACATTGAATACTGACGGCGCAATAGCATGACGCTGAATGGATTGTCGGTTCAAGGCAAGAATCTACTGGCCCATACATCTTGCCACCTTTGCGCGCGTTCTCCATTGGAAATGATTTCACTAAAAATCGTTTGGACCGTCTAAACGAGCGATATATCATCAACATCGCAACTTCGGACGGAGAAAGGATGATCAGATTAACTCCCCTGTCTACAGTTTTCCGTTTCTCAGGTTTTCTGAGCTTATGAGCCGTTAGATTTACCTCTGTCCCCAAAAGTACATGAGACACTGTTTCCTAACTCTAAGTAGCTCTCACCGAGAGCCATCAAAGGAAGATAGGCTGAAGTTAAAGGTGTGGAGATCAAATAAGGTCGTATGTGTTGCGTGTACTGTGCAATTACAAAGGCATTCAAAATACTGGTGGAAGGAAAAAGGCCTTCGCTGCGGAGTTGTTTACTAGAGAAACACCAAATGAACAGTTACAGACTATTGGACAAGGGAGCATCTTTTTTACAAATCTGAATATCCATCCTCTCCTTGAACGCGTCTTCCCGAACTTTCCTGGATATTCATTGACTGTTACTTAAATGCAAGCAAATGTTACAAAGTGACTCCACAAAATCCGTAATAGATCTCACTTTTGAAGAAACGCGAAACGGATTTACGAGAAAACCACATACTACTCGAGTGTCTCATCAGTAGTATCCACTGTAACACTGGTAGGGAAAAGATTCCGACCTACCTCCTGGACTGTGACAGTGTAAAGGCGGATACTACTGATGAGGCATGAGAGTAGTATGAGGTTTTCTCGTAACTCCTCGCGTTTGATGGACGGTGAGGTTTATTACAGAACTTGTGGAACTGCTTTTTAGCGCTCGTTTACGAAGGCCTGATAGTCAACGAATACTCACTGAAATTCGGGAAAACTTGTTGGAAGGTTCCGCTTTTAAAAACCATGTGCATATGAGACGTTTACTTTCTTGTCCGATCGTTTGTAACTGTCTAGCTGGTGTTTGTTAATAAACGACCCCGCGGTGAAGGGCTTTCGTCCCTTCAGCAGTAGTGACTCTAACTCACCTGTTCGATTTGGTTCGAAATTTGATCATATTATGTTCACATGAAGGCGTGGTCAATACATTGGGAGGGTTGTATAACCGGAAAGATGACGAGGCAGTTAGAAAGAGCGTTTTCGGGTGTGTAACAGGTACTTCTATTGAAGAATGTGTCCAGCACCAGAAGCTGCGTTGATTGGGACATATGTCACGTATGCCGAACCATCGTTTGCCGAAGAGAGTGCTGTTTTCCATGCCCAACTCAGAGTGGCGTAAACAGAGAGGTGGCCAACCCTTGATTTGGTACAGGAGTATGACGGAGATCACGAAACGCTTGGGTGCTGTTGGTGCTACTCGCCTTCCAGGATGGGGACCGCGTGATCCTCACTGTGCCTAGTTGGAGACACTACAAGATATGGCTGTCAACCGATGTCAGTGGCGTTATTGTTGTCAGTTTCTATCCAGATCCCCTGGCACCTCGGAATGATTGTGGTAAGCTGGCCTTAAGTCCCTTCCTCGTCTACCTTTACTCTTTTCTTTACAATGAGGTTTTCAAATAAGTCATGGTTGTACGGCGGTGAAGCATCGGTGTTGAATGGTGGTCGTTGGCTTGTTCGCTGAGCTATGCAATTAGATTGCAAACGTTTCATCACCAATCGAGGTGACATCATCAGTGGTTGTGCAAAGCCACTAACCCACCGCTACGCAGTACTACTCTCCACAATAACGCACTAATGATGTCACGTCGATTGGCGATGAAACGTTTGCGATCAAATTGCCCAGCTCAGCGAACAAGCCAACGACCACCAGATGCAGAACTCTAAGAATGAATCAGAGGGAAGATGCGTTAATAAAAAGGTGAGGAAATTTGACGTAGCATGCGTCGTATAAACGAAACAGCAGGATGACCAATAGCGCTCATTAAACAAGCTCATCTGTCGCAGACTTGTTTGGGACCAAAGCCAACAAAGTGGACGCATACACACAGCCTGGTAACAAGATAACGAAATGTGTATTCGAATATCTGGTGGTTTCATAATTCATTTGTTTGCTCCTCTCACAAGCATCCATCCATTCGGGATGGACTCTTGAGTCTTATATTCAAATGAATCGCCCTCTGATCGATCGGATTCATTTGCTTTTCAGCTTGATTTTGTGTGTACCTGGGTATCCCAAATAAACTCTGTGATACGAGTTTGCAAGGAAAAGAGACAAAGAGGGTATCCAGTCCATTTAGCCTGTCTTGTAAGTTATTTGTCAGCTCGTTTGGGAGTGCGCTTACTCATAACCGTTTATTGTTTATTGGCACGCATAAGGGGAGCACAACGCCTGAAGCTTGTGTACGAAGAAGTCAGTGAGGAATCAGCGTTTCTAAGGTGTGGATCAAAATAATCGTTCTATCCTTGGTGTTCAAGTGGTTCTGTGAACGTGGCACTTTTCTAGCATTGATGTATTACTAATGATGTAGCTATGTGCTTTGAGTTGTGGATGTTTTTGGTCTCAGAGAACATCCAGTGGAACGTCATTGGTTCAACCTGTGCCACGAGTATATGCTGTGGCAAATGTCGTATTCCAGCAGGTGTGTTCTACAATAATTCATTTTACGCTTTTATTTGAAAAGCGTACAATAAAATCTCGCTAAACTATGCACCAACAAAACAAAAGGGATTACGCGGATTTGTCTGCTCCCTGTCCCTCATCGAAGTCGGTTCCTGTCCAACCACTCATCTTTGTGAATTAGACGGGTTCATTGGTTAAACTATGAAGGGGGCGCAGTACACAGAATTCTTCCAACAGATCTGAGGCTACAACTGTCAGATCCAAATAAGTGCTACTGTTGCCATGAAACCGGACACTAGATTTCCTGGGTGGCCTCAGGGCAGTCACTGGCTTACCAGCATAACCACTATATACGTTCCTCATTCGGATTTATGTTTCTTGTCACGATCTTACACACATTCGTGGACCCTACTTCCCAGTTATCGTGCTGTCCTGTTCATCTATCGGTAGATCTGTCTGTACGATCAGTTTAGAAGTCTCCGTTTGATTTGGCGCGCTGATTTCCTCAGCAATTTGGTCATGCTTGTGGCTCTTTCAACCAGTATTTTTGAACAGACTTGTAAGGTGTTTTGATCACTGCCATTTGTGTAGAATAGCACCTTACTTTGACAGGCAACGTGGGGATACACTGGCCTCTTCGTCGCCTGTGTCATGGGAGTACCGGAGATGACGTTTGGTGTATTTGTTCATGAATTTGGTCGACGCCGTTCTAACAGATGGTTCCCCTGCTGCACTGTAGTTTGCAGGACCTTGAAGGAAAATCAAACAAATAGGCTCGTAGTAGAGCACACGTTTTTCCAAACTATTCACAACTATTCACATATATTTGGAGTCTATGCGCTGCTTTGTGTTCAGGGTATATCGGAAGCTGATTCTCGCTAGTTGGCATGTTTTGTTTGCTCGGTATCACGTTTAGTAATGGGATTCTCCCACTGTCCCCGTGTTTCCACTATGAAATTTAAATCAACGTGAGTAGTGCTCAGTAGTTGGTAGAATTCGTGGGCGAACTACAAATATATTGTCAAAATAATATCTATGACTCATGAGTCACTGGGTTCTTCTGACCATTTTTTCTCGCGGAAAATCGATCAACATGTCTGCGTGTAGTGTTCAAACGAACAAAACTGAAATGTTTTGCGCTAAATCGTGAAAATTTAGATAAACTGTTTCATTCTGAGAATAAATCACTCCACTTCATTGATTGTCATTGTAATTACTAATGAGTCAAGGTCTAGAAAGAAAGCTATCAACTTTTGTTTTACGAGCCATACAATTACCACAAATTCAGATGTATCCTGAGACCTAGGGCCTTTCTTGTTCAAGTTTGTTCACAGGCTGTTGAGCAATTTTACGCCCCCGATCATCACTTTCAATATCAGACCAAAATGTGTGGGATTTTGTGTAAATTTGTATACAAGCATCAGTGAAACTCTCATGCTTGACTCCTTCAAAACGACATCGATTTTTTATCCAGGATTTCGTACTATATCGGATCGCGTTCTATTTCCTTGGATTGTTTTCGTCCGAACTAATCCGAATCTATTGTTATTGTAGCTAATCGATAACATGACGCCGACATGATTGTCAGGTGACACAATGTAGAGTTCTACTACCCGTTGAAGTTTTTGATCGTGTCCTGTACTGAAGCGATGCCTCGATATAGTCTGGTAGCTGAAGCACAAACTTACTGACCGGAAGGTTCGTGGTTCGAGCCCAACTTCAGCCTTTAGACCGCTCCTGTCTAAGCTTGATTAGACTGACAGTACCTCAGTTTTGGTGCTTCTTTCGGGTGGCTTGGCGGCTAGGCATTGGAAAGATGTTACAACCAAACTGATATTACCATACTGATATTGCTGAATAGATATCAGTAGTCGGTGTAATTCTCATCCACAGTCATACAAAAGGATTCAAACCAGCTGGAATCATACCTGGGTTAAGTCTGGTGAGGTAGCCCGAACCAGATTTCAATCGCCCTTAAATTACAGCTTTTTGGATGCCTTTTGAAAGATATGATTAGAAATAAAAATTTCATACATACTGTATTAGACAGGAATTCATCCTGATGAATACTATTTTACCGCAGTTTGTTGTACTAATAATAAGCAATTATTGTAATCGATTATTTGAAATCCCCGGGAGGTTGGCAACTGGGTTGAGTGAGGGATGTTTGCCACTTATCAAACTCTCGCTTAGGTGTGAACTTCTGCGATTCGTCACCTGTCGCTGATTTCCAATTCATGAGTCTGTTTTAGAAAATTGTCGTTCGGATGACGGTCAGTAGCAGTGCATTTTCTCAAGGATATGAGATTCACGACTGTTACTAGAACTCTGGCTGCATCCTGAGGTTTGTGCTGTTCCGTTTTTACTGAAACGGATCAAAGGAAGACACTGTTTAAGGACTGTTTCAGCACCGTCACCAGCCAAATCAATTCCAGTCACTGGGTTCGCTATATATCCTGACAATTTTCTATGCAATTTTGGAGTTTTGCGGGATAGGTATTTTTGTTCATAGCCACGCCACTCTCGTTTGAACGGCCGTGTTCCTGTTCTGGCGTAATTATTCCGGGGAGTCCACACTAAAGGGAAGCACTGGACTCGAGTTCCGCTCTTATTAGACCTCATTAGCAGTGCCTATCCAATGGCCGTGCCGGGATTTGAACCCCGGACATCTGACACGCGAGGCGAGCGTGTAACCACTACTCCACCAACGTACGTTGGACGCATCTGAATTATCCCGACTAAACAGGCGAACGTGTTCACACTTGAGCGATGTGAAGCGATGTGAGCAATGTGAGCGAAACTCGAGTCCAGTGCTTCCCCTTGGTGTGGACTCACCGGAATAATTACGCCAGAACAGGAACACGGCCGTTCGAACGAGAGTGAACAAAAATTTTCTATGGAGTCTATATTTTATGTACTTGCAGTCGATCGAATAAATGGAATGTGGGAAGCAATCTGCGTGTCACAATGAGAACGGAGCTTCAGAGGGGACAGATCAAATAAGGAGACGTTACTTGAGACGCAAGGCGAAATGGGATCTAGCAGACGTCGCGAAATATCAGTGCTCATGAACTTCTAATCAGCAACGATTCTGATAGATGCACTTTTCGGCCGTACAAGCAAGTGTAGGACCAAGTCAAATGTGAGTGATGAGACACGCCTATTCAAAATTGAAAAGTTTGCTTGCTTTTACTACACCTAAATACGTGCGTCAGACATTAGATCATGATACAAAAGTGGTTTTTGAATACTGCAGCAGACAAAACAGACAAATACAAGGTACAGTGAGATGAATTCGTGTAACTACGGAATAACGACTCAAGCTGAACAAGATACATGACGGAATCTACTCACAAGGTTGCTGAAAATGCTTCAACACCCCACGACCGGTTTCGCCCTTCTGCTTTGGGCTCATCAGGTAGGCGCAGTCCCCGAGTTTCCGTCAACCTTATGTTCTACTTGAACCCAAATTGGACTGTTTTCGAGAAATACACTCACTTGCAAATCAGTTTGCTTCTCACGAGAGACTCAACTGAGTATCATAGAATATCATAAACGAGAGATTCGGTGGATTCTCCCTTGTGAGGACCAAATTGATTTGCAAATGAGTGTATTTATCGAAGATACATGAAGCTTCAGGTCTACTGGCGCAGTGTGTTTGTGCAGAACTTTTAAAATCTAACTTGAATTTAGAGAGGCTATCCGAGATTACTTTATACTTAGTCAACTCTGGATATCCGTGAATGAGATCACGGGCTGGATAAACTTTTGTATATGCGTCATATTCTAGTGTCGTCTCGGTAGACTGTCGATTTTTCAATGTCCAAGTGTAGCATTGTTCATTCGCCTAAGTTTTAGTCTGCCATAAACATTTATTGACGGGGCTTTTCTTGCAGTAAATGAGAAAAAAACAATCGATAACGAGCTCCTTGGAATCGAAGGGGAAATTCTGCCGCATAAAAATTAGGATCAGATGGGAGGGGACGCTCACAAGTTAACCTTACGAAATGACAAATTTCACAGCCAGACCACTACTAAAGTTTAACGAATTTCTAGCAGAAAAAACGTTTGTTCGGCTCAAGGAATACCCAAAAAAGAGACATTATTGCCAGCATATTTACATGGAATATTAGAGTTTTGGCTGAGCCGACCACATGGTTCCTAAATCAGGTGCTTGTTGGTCCGTTCGCAGCCCCTAACAGTTTGCTTGCAAACGCTTCGTCATCAGTCGTGAAGATACTATCAGTGCGCCATAGGTGTTTCCTCCATACCTGCTTTTACTCACACAATTTTTAAAGGGCAGTTTTCTCCTAACTTTCTTCGTCTGTTTACGAGTTGTGGTAAACCGCATTCCTTGCATTTGATTGGTTCATCGATCAACCTTCTTCCGGTAGATTTAACCATTTCTTGATTGGCCTTTTCATAGTTCGTGTTGCGTTGTGGTTTGTCTTCCTCTGAGATGACTGACTATTTCGGTGCCACGGCGAAGCACAAAAGGAACAATGAAATTACCAGAAAGCTCTCCCTTAATCAGTCAGTAACATCAAGTTGTATCAAATAATATCTGAGATCGATGTAAGTGCCATCAGGTAAAAAAGAAGTACGAATCCTGGTCGGCATTGAGGATTTCCCTACGGCTGGTAACGAAATGTTAAGAAAAGTGATCAGATAAACTGCCACCTGAGGTACCAGTTTTTTTTAGATATATTGTCAACTCAAAGCTGGGTAGCTGGAAGGGAAAAGAGATATACCCATTCGGCCGGTTTCCAAGCCCGGATCGCATTTCGGACACGCGGTATGGAAAATCGTAATGCGCCTTTCTTTACAGTGAAATTCGCCAAAACGATTAGTGCTCACAAAAGCTTCTTGAGAGTACACATTTGTGTCTGTTCCAACATATACCTTCACCTTCGTCTCAACTCTAAGGAGCGAAACTATCAGTCCATCGACTACAAAAAATTGACAGTATTTGATCATCCTAAAATGCTGATCGATATTCTCTACAATTAGCATAAACACGTGACGCCTCTAAAACACAAGCACAGTCGCTTTGAGATACGTCTAAAAATAACGAGGAATAGGACAGCCAAAATATCTGGTCGATATGGACAGGGATGATGAGCTAAGAGTAGTGGTTTCAGCCATTCCGAGAATTTGTTGCCACCTACACATGCACATAGAGAGCTGTCTGGAACTCACAATACCTACGGTAAATTTGTTTTCTTCACTAACCTTACCAGTTATCAGAGTCAGCCAGCATGAATCTAAGGACGTTGCTTGTGATTCAGTCGCTCAGACTGGACAAGAGTCTGAATATCAACACGGATCGTATGGTAACAGTCCATCCGCAGGCAATTTCTCTTTCTACTGTCATGCGGCGTGAGCTACAGTTGTAGACCACAATCTCCGTTCCGATACAGTGACGCACGGCAAACTATCAAAGCAGTTGATTAGTTTCAGTCGAGTAGATGGAAATCACCAAGTCAAAGTTAGACTGTAACATGTTAAGAGACTGCCAATTCACACAACACTAAGATGAGACCTATCCATGAAGTGACATTCCATACGGTATGTCTCTCTCTTCTGTTTACAACGGTCATTCACCAACACAGCCATTAAGTTCATTCATTTTTTTATCTGACCCGTCCCCGTTTAAATTATTGTTCAAGACAGATGTCACTGGATTGATTAACCGTGTTTTGGAGTGGTACATATCGAAGTTCATTGAGACTATACCGCATGCGGACAGAGAATCAAACGCCACTCTATTGATTTATTGATCGTGGATGTAATATGCACGAGGCTGACCACATCGAGACAGTCGAAATTCAAATATTCATGTGACTCCTATTCACGAGGAGTACTCTAGACATGAGCACTATTAACAGAATTGTAGCCGTGAGTGCTCGCTGCTGGTTATAGAGAGAGGGTCAAAGTTTGTTCACAGAGAAGCCGGAATAACGGAAGATGAGATGAAGAGCTGTCGGGAAGCGTATAACTAGTGCGGTACCGTGCAAACCGAAACGTTAGTCAGTCTTCGTACGCCAAATTCAGTAGAGAACTTCCATAAACTTGAGAATCAGCCGAGATACAGATGAACACCGAATCTATGTTGGCCTCCTACTTACACAGTTAAGTGGATGAGTAGTACACAAGTTTGAAAGACACTTGGGAACTACGCTTATCTGATCAACCTCAATGGGGGCAAAACTGGTAGCGCACTGCGAAAAAGTTCTCTATTATTTTGAACTGACAAGGATGAGCAACACAAGAATGTGGTTGACAGATGGGGAATACTGTCAGATGGAAATGATAAAAGAGAGTACGGTTCAGGCGATTGCATACCATCAACAGAATTTTTACTCCAAGGGTACGAGAGAAAGTTTAGGATGGAAATACACCGTAGTTGTAGCCAGCCACGAATAGACTGCCTGACATAATCATCGGATCATCTGAGGGTACTGAGGTGACCTTAGAATAGCTCGGCCAATTTTGTCAGTCTTGGTGTCAGCTAGTCCCTCGTGATTTACATTCAGTGATGCAGCTTTCATGGGGCATGTGATCTTCTCGAGTGGTTTCGGCATTTTCTGCAGAGAAGAAACGCAAAGAGGACGCGAAAATAAGCTACAGCGTCTGTTGGGCTCAAAGTAGTGGTGATTTCTTTGGTAGGCGAAAAGAGTTTGACTCAAATGGCGATCGATCACAATGCTTCTGGAATCCAACCATCGCTTTTGTCTTCGGGGTGTTGGTCTTCATAATCCCTTTTCCCAACTTCACGTCAGAAGGTTCTCGCCTGATTGTTGGTCTGTTCGCCGAGCTTGGCAGTTGGATGACAAGCGTTTCATCACCGACTGGGTGGACATCGTCAGTCACTCAACCCCACACTGAAGATATCAGCTCGATCGGTGATGAAACATTTGGTATCCAACTGCCAAGCTCGGCGAACAGACCAACAATCGAGCAGCGCACTCAAGCTACCCATATTCCGCAACAATGCCAGGTTCAAACGTCTTAAGGCGATGCTAAATTTCTGCATGAGAGATAAAGTAATAAAAACCATTCACACTAAGGTGTTACAGGACTAGTGATCTGGTTGTGGTATTAATAGAAGAGCGATACTAGGCAGACTAGATATCCTTGCCTCACTCCTCTGAGACGCTCGACTTCCGAATGAGGTTAACTAAAAAGGCACCCTTGTAGAACTGTGCGATATATCAAAACAGGAATTACAGCCTTCTAAATGTCCTGGCTAGATGGACAATAGTGTCATTCGAAACCGGATCAAACGCTTTCCTTACGTCAACAAACACCAAACCGCAGAATGCATGCAGCGCACGCATCCGATTCGCACATCTTGGTCATCGTTCGATGAGTCGGGCACACCACGTGAACACGTTCGTCTGTTTACCAAGCTCTACAGTCGTAATTGCATAAGTTTCTTCTTCTGAACGTGGGGGGGATATTATCTCCGATGATGCCTTCCTTATGCATAGGGGATGAAACGTTTGCGAACCAGTTGTCAGATCCAGTGAAACGACCAACATTCACTTGTTCAGCCACTAACAAAAACCACACGAAACGCCAATACTCTTACACGGTGTCTCACAAGGAATTAGGTTGTT